GAAAGACAACATTGCAACCAAAATAATTTCTATATTGGGGAACATAAAATAGCTCAAAGAGGCGCTGGGGGACTCTATATCGATGCAGGACAATATTTCTGGGAAGTCAATCGAATTGTTAAATATCTTCCACAAGAGCAAGGCCGAAGCCAAAATTCTTCTATCTTCCAAAGAGTCCAGACCGACCAAATTCGGTTTTACAGTTTTGGTCTGTAAAAGGGAGCTCACTATTGTCATGTATATTCATTTTGAAAAACAAATATTTACATGCCCTCCTTTGTACACTCTCAACCATGAGAGATCCGGACGACCAAACAATAATAGCATTCTCCAAATTTTTATGGCAAGTACTTTTTTAAAACCTACCGCCTGCCTTCTAATGAAGAACCACTTTTTAAGTGCATTTTTTGACCATCTTCAAGGTGGTCACGAAAATCGCAGTTCTTATTAAATTACTATTAATTAAGGTTTTTAGTTGAGATGAAAAAAAGGTCTTATTAAAAATAAGCCCAAGGTCCGAAATGGTACCGACGTCGTTATTATTATTGTTAATTATTATTGTCGCACCAAGACAAGAAAGCGTCCAGTCCTCCTGCAGTAAACTACATTGCTCAAATGAGGATGTTGGGCGAAAGATTTTCAGGTCGTCAGCTAAAGGTGAAAATCTGGAGTTGTTAAGACTGATCCAACATCATTGAGCAAAATCAGAAACAATAGTGGCCCCGAATGAGATCCCTTGCGAACACCGGAGTCAATATAGACAGGGGCTTAAAATCCTTCCTCGAATCTTACTATAAAAGATCTTCCGGACGGAAAAGAATCGATCCACCCCAGAAGGGGGTTATCTACTTTTAACTTTTCCAGTTTTGTCATCAAGATTAAACACTCCACTCGAAGGCCTTAGACGAATCCGTGTAAACAGAATGAACACAATGACCCTTCTCCAAATGATTCAGAATGAAATCCTTGCAGAGAACCAAGTTGATTACACTGGAGCGTCTTTGATGAAACCATGCTGTTGCTGAAGAATAACATGTTTGAATGAAAGACTCAATAAGTCTGCCACTAAGGAATCCTTAATCTTAGGTATTGTAGAATATTATTGATAGGGCGATAGTTTTTGATGTTCCTACAATCAGGTTTTTTAAGCACACAACTGATCTTCCATCTTTGTCACTTCAATTTTGACATTCATGTTCTTTTTTTCTAGGCTTAGGGTGCAATATTTTGAATGACTTATATTTTTACTATGAAAAGCACAGAAACCTACAGGTTATGTCGAGCGCTTTTTTCGAAATAAAATTCAGGCTCTGAGAAAAAAAAATGACTTTCGAAAATTAGGTCAAATTTTTAGAAAAAGTTCAATATCATGTATAAAATTTTGAAAATAAAATTTCCAAACAATGACTCGGCACATCTTTTGTATTGAAGTCCTCTTTAAAAAAACTACAAAATTCAAGTGAAAACTTTGGTTCTTGAGAAAAAGGAACAGGCAATTTTTTTAAATGCATTTTCAGACAGTTTATTAACGCAGAACAGTTTCTTACATATCTATACGCATTAAATATTATAATAAAATTAAAAAACAACAGCCGAGAAAAAAATGAAACAGTCCGCGGTGTAATCGGATCATTAGTTCACGAGATATTAAAGAAAGAATGAAGGTACTAGGAAAAAGAATCCGAAAATTGCTCGACCCCATTTAAATCTTTAAAATCATTCATGGAAACATTTTGAGCTAATTTGAATAATTCTATATGTGTTTTTTACGCTAATCTTGAATAATAAAAATAAAGGATAATTGTCAGAAAAGTCTATTGAACCTGTATTCTTAACATTTGCTATTTTTAAATGTTATGAGTGCGCTTTTTTCCTTGCACCTTGTTGAGATAATTGTCAGAGATTATCTAATATTGTAGTCCATTAGTTCTTAAAATAACAGAATAATTGTGTAGTAGTGCACTACTCAAAACCGACGCGTGGAAAATTAATTATGTAGCTTTTCCTTAAATAGGGCTTGCTAAAGCGGACTTGTATCGAGGATTAACTTTCGATTGGAAGGTTGTTTTGTTTAAAAATTAATTTTCCACCTATGCGAGTTAAATTAATTCCGATTATCCGGCTGGCGTAACGTTGTACACTCTCTAGCCTTCTGTACGGCGAGGATGAAACGGTATGAAACAGTTGGCTGGCTGTATAATTTTGACATCCTTTCTAATAGAAAGGGAAAACGTTTTTATTTAACAATAAGGCTAATAATAATTGGCGGCGGTTGTTCCTCATCCGAAAACAAAATATTCGTTTTGGATCGTTTTGGACTATTGTACATACGGCGAGACAAGAAACGAAGCGAAACGAGACGCTGAAGTAATTTGTCCAGTCGGCTCATCCGCAAAACGAAGATAACTCATCTATGGATATATATCACTGTTTGTAAATGATGGTTCTACGCATAATTGTTTACAACGATTCGGATTTCGAGCATTAATCGCTCATCATCAGGTTGAAGGAGTGTAAAGGTATACCCGCCAATGCGACGTTCCAATGAGAAGCTGGTTTTTAATGAAGCTCATTTTTGAACGTGCGACGTGAATTATGACACAACTATCATCCTAATAAATACTGAATAATTTAGATTTTAGTCCAATATTGCTCAGACCAATTGATGTGATTTCTTGAGAAACTTAACCGAGCTGTGCCTTGTCAGAAGTTCCGGACCACGCCTCGCACACAATCCAACTTCTGAAAGTCTTCGCCTTAGAGTGCGTAAACTGACATTAACAATTCTAACATGCTGAAATCCTTGCTTGACCTGAACTGAGATGTGACGGGATGGCGATCTTATCCATGTCTTCTTGAGTAACCTCCAGTATTTGGTAGCCTTGGAAGACCCTTCGGACAGTTGTTCTGTAAATGTTAAACACCCTGGGCACACGCTTGCCTTCTTCCATCTTCCAATAGTGCGCTATGATTCTAGCCGAATCTGTATCACTTAAAACCATCACTCAAACAAATTTAAAACTTAAAAAAAATCAAACCACCGAACGTTAGAAAGAACCTTACAGAAAAGAAAACAACGAAGAAGAGATTGGCAATTTAAAGATTACTTGACAAAATTGTAAATACCAGTGGGAAATTTTATCTGTGCTTTATTTACCTGTAATCCCTTAAAAAGGACCAAACATTGTTATAAGATAATCAATCAATAGAGGGTTGTCTAATAGATAATTTAAAATATTAAGGGTGGTTACTTTTTTCCCTCTCGGTGTAGTTAGATGTGTAATGAAGGATATCAAGTATTCCACCATCACAACTGAATGAATGGTATGCAAATAAGAAAAAATGTAGATAAGAGTGAATGGGTTTGGTCGAAGCAACTGATTCCGTGGGGGGCTTGATCAACATGCACCTTGTGCAATTTAGAAAAAGGAACAAACTAGAACCATGTGTTATTTTTTATTAATATGGATTATGGATTTGTTACTAGGGTTTTAAAAAAACGTTTAGTCGTTAATGTTTGGAAACAATCTACATTGTGGCATAATTTCTCACCATTTTTGTGAATACAAAAATGCTTATTTTTCAGTTTCTGGATGTTTTGTTTCGAACACTGTCTCTACGATTGTTCACCTGTTATTTATTTACAATATAATAAAAAGAATCGTTTAAGTACGAGTGAGAGTTTTGGAGAAAAGTTGACCGAAATGTGAAAAAATAATTTTTTTCAGGAGAAGCGATTTTCTGAATCGAGCCCGAATTTTACCCCATGATCACACCGATTTCTCTTGCAATAGCAAGTTGATAAGTTGGACTATAATTTGGAGGGTAGTTTTTTCACGTCTAATATGCAAAAAATATTTCCACCAATGGGATTGCGAATTGCCAGTTCATCAAGGCCAATTACGCCAGAACACTTGATTCGTAACTTTCAAAAAATTATTCAAAGCACTTTTCTATCGCAGAATCATATAGGATCAGTTTCATTTTATGAAAAAAAATTTGTAGTTTAATGTAATATATATATATATATATATATATATATATATATATATATATATATATTACATATAACCTATCGAAAATTAGTTAAACTCTAAGAAAGATTACCTAATTTTTACGATTTAACTTTATCATTATTCCTTATCTATATATTTTTCGTAGTCATAATTCATCACATTAATCATTTTAGTTAATTATACTTTTTATATAAGGTGTTGGTTGAAATGAGAAAGCTATTGTCTCGAGCAGGATTCGAACCGACGAAGTACTTCGCTAACACCTCCTCGTGGCCAATTCCAGATTACCCGACATTTGAAAATATGGCCAAATGGAAAAGTCGAAGGTTCAGACGTGGAGTTGGTGTCCTAGTGGTACGAAGTCACGGTGGCTCAAGTGGTTAGAGCAGTGGCGTATTGAGCGGAAGGTCATAGGCTCGAATCCCGCTGGCTTTTTCATCTTAACCATGGCCGTGGTAAAAAATATAATTAATTAAAATTATTTCTGATTTAAATCCCATGGTTTTTATAATTGACATCAATTGAATAATTCTAATGAAAAATGTATTGTGTGTCATTGTGTTTGACTCCTCATCGCGACACGCAACGAGTGGTAGATGGACGTTAAGCCCTCCTGTAAGACAGAAATTACTTTACTTTTATTGTAAATGGGTTGTATATATGGTGTGGAACCTTTTTCTATTTGCTACCGAGTATTTCATATACAGCTATTATTATTTGTACATTCAGTGCCTGGAGTACATCAGCAGATACAATGGCTGAGAATTCCCAGAGGTTTCGTAACCCTGTGAGAAACGGGGCGTCAAAAGGCCCGATCAAATTGAACAACAAGCCGTTAGGAAGTATATCACGGAAAACGGCGTCATTTAGGAACTTTCATCCCATAGATTTAATAACGGAAGGAATCCGGTTGGAATTAAAGCGCAGGAGGGTAAAAGTGAGAAGATCCGCGCTGGATGAATCTTCATCGGCGTGGTGGGGTCCCCCTCCAGACATCGGAGGTATATATGTGCAGGAAACAAGGTCAAGGCGCCTTCATTGCAGTCATGATCATCGCCATCGCAACCGTAAGTACATCATCATCAACAACTGTCACCGTCATCGCAGTCTCCTGAATTCTACCACCGTCGCAGTGTTACAAACGGAAAACAACCACAGAAAAGTGAAAACTTGAGAAAAAGAAAATACAGTGATGAGTGTCTTTTGGATTATTTATATTAAAACACGATTTGTAGCACTGCGGTCGTGGAATACAGAAAAATACAATTCGCGTTTTAGTGATCGTGTGTCCATATACTTCAATATGTGGTTACTTCCGTGAAATTTTATGTTATTCCATATAAAATAAAAAGTTCTGATTGCAAATTTTCGCAAAGGGTTAAAGAAAAGTGAATTAATTTAAAACAGGAATAAATTCAGATTAAGGATAAAATCTTAATTTCTGCCAGATTTTTAATATTCTCTGTAACATAAAATTTCATATAAGTCTAATTGTTCACTCTGTATAGGGTTCTAATTGTTTTTCCATAATTAACTAGGCTAACTTCAAAAAATCTATGATTATTGGTAGGTTAATAAATCCAAGAAGTATTTCAAATACTCCTGATGAACGGATCCTGATAAAAATTAAACTTAAATACTGTTCAGATGAAGGGCAGGAAATAAATTTTCTTTTCTATAATGGACATTTATTTCGTCAGACGAGTTTCGGTTTAATATAGGCCTTCTTCAGTCACTTTTTTAATATAAAGTGGTTTGCGGTTTTTTTTACATTCTTATAAGTTCAGAAATGTATGTCTGGACGACTATGGACTTGGCAAAGTCTGTCAAGAATCCTAGAAATACTACTACTCGCCAAGTCCATAGTCGTCCAAACATCCACTTCTGAACTTATAAGAATGTAACAAACCGTCAAACCACTTTATATAAAAAAAGTCACTGAAGATGGTCTACATTAGACCGAACGTGTCTGACGAAATATATACCTATTGTGGAAAAGGCAAATTATTATAGAGTTCCACAAAATCAGGACACCATCAAAAAATTAAACACTGTTCGATTGACTCAAGGATCTTATAAATTAGGAATTTGAAATCATTTATTTCAGTTCCCTCTGTTTTTTGTTACTACTACAAACTAAATATTCCTATTTTAGAAATTAGAAAAGAGAAATGAAGGAAAGTAATTTGAAAATACTACCTTCTTTTATTAAAACGCTAACAGGGAAAAGTAGATTTGAAAAATCTTTTCACCGTAAAAATTTCTCTATTGATTAACAACAATATTTGTTTCATTATCGGATAATATAAGAAAAATTCTGAGATATGAAAGTCTGTTTTAATCAAATAACAACAAAATGGTCATTGGGTCATTTTAACAGTTTTGCGTTTGAACAGGGCTTTTTGGTAAAACAAAAATTCGGTTCCGAGTTCGTTTTGTATTTTATCCAGCGGTCGACTTTTCACCAGAGGACTAGCGGGACGCTGTAATTGCCGATGGTCGGACGTTAAAACGTTTTACTTTCTAATAAGTGCCGAGGAGAAACTGAGAAGCAAGTTCCCTTTCACGCACTTCATTTCGACCTGGGACAAATTTTGAATTAAACACTAATCGTAGAGTTGTTTTTTCATTAATTTTAAATTTTTTAAACGATCAGACTGCTGTGGCGTAAAATTGGAAATTAACGTTGTTTAAAAAAACATATGTGGGCCGTGGTCAGAGCAAAATAATAAGAACATGCTTAGTATTTCTTCCCCTGGATAGCAGGAATAAGTACAGATTAGAAGAAATCCACTTGTTATTTATTAAGTATTATTAATAACATTTTAAGAGACATGTTTTAATTATTCAAGTTATTAAATACCATAACTTTCAATTAACTTAACCTGGAATGAAAAAGTAAACATAAAAGAAGAAACGAGCTTTCATTGAATATACTTCGCCTCGACTTTCAAGATTTTACTTTTAATTCAAAATGTCAACAAATATGAACATTTATTTACAAATGTTTAGTTGATACCAAAGGTTATACCAATAATTATACAACATAACCAAACTTGACTCGAATTTCTACTACTATGAGCAATAATACAAGTTACATTTCATTATTTTCAATAAATTTGGATTTTAGTAAAGCTATTTGACGAAGATTATAAGCTTAATTTAATCCAGATATGTTTTAGTAGTCATAATTAATGATTTTAATTAATTATACTTTTTATCTAAGGTTTTGGTTGAGATGAAAAAGCGTGTGTCACGAGAGGGATTCGAACCCACGACCTTCGGTTCAATTCGGTGCTAATTTGAGCTATCGTGACTTCGATCCACTCGGAGACGAACTCTTCATCTCAAAATATATCCTTTCGAATTTTCACTCCTTTTCCTGATTTCACGATATTTGAAATTTGACAAAAAGAGGGAAAATTCGAAAGTTGAGATGTGGTTGGTGTCCGAGTAGATCGAAGTCATGATAGCTCATGTGGTTAGAGGAGCGGCATATTGAGCCGAAGGTCGTGGGTTCGAATCGCGCTCGTGACACACGCTTTTTCAACTCTAACAAGGCCTTAGATAAAACGTATAATTAATTAAATTTAGAAACTTAGTTATAACATTGAAACGATTATTATTGCCATTACTTTTCATATTTCAAATTCATGTCTGAAACTAAATCTCCGTTATTTTTCCTTAAAACTAATTTATTGATTACTGATTTATATAAGCTCAACTATCCACACGTATCTACAAAAATTTATGACCTCGGTCATTTCAGCTTCCAATGCATGCACTTTTTAAACCTAGACACAATCTCACTCGTTCTTAATTAGATTCTATTCTATTTGCAAGTTTTTCTCAAGTAAGGTGCTGGAATACAAGATATTCCTTTATTCCCCTTTAAACCTAACAAAATATCTAACTGATCTAATTGGATGTCGATGGATAGACATTCACTATATATTCACTAGAATAAATACAATTTCAATATACATAGTCTTGTTTACTCCAAATATCGAACAAAGTCCCAAGTATTCGCTACGTGCTCAATAACAAATCTTATGTCGGGTAGCATTCCTACTCGCTCTCTATATAGAGCCAAGGAATGACACCCTTCACACATGGGGCGATTGAGGTCCGATGTGGTAGTCGACTTAACGCCATTGGCTCTCTCACTCTATACCTTCAAGCTAATAAGTACATTCAATATCAGTACGCACTAAAGGAAACACAAAACGAGATATCTATGAAGTACTGTATATAATAAAATAGCCCTGTTTTCTCCAAAAATCTGAACAGGGGACCAAAATACTAGCTGCAATGCTCAAGCACAATTCTATATCGATCCAAGGTATGACTCTCTCGAGACATACAGTTTTTAAAACTAGATTCACTCTCTCATTCGTTCTTTCTTGTTTACATAGCATTCATTCAATCAGGCGGTGGAGTACTCATTCCTCCATGACTTTTTACACATGATGTATAACTAATCTAATTGAGGATCGTTGGTGTATTCAACAATCTATCTCACACGACATTCATGCTAATAAATACATTCAATCTCAATATATACAAAAAAAGATATCGAGTTACTATATACAATTTTAAAAAACATTTTTTTTACAATTCGGAATGAGACCGAAATATTCGTTGAATTGCTTAAGCACAATCCTCATATCAGGTGGCATTCCTACACGATCTCTATAAAGAGCCAAGAAATGACACCCTTGACATAAGTGGAACACATCGAACAAATGTTCGCTGGCATTATATAACGACCTTAATTTTAGTAAAAGTAGAAGTATTATGACAAAACATAAGAGAGTCCCCAAGGCCGGAGAGAGAAGAAACACTCATATGAAAATTTTTTAATGGACCATAAAATTAATATTTATTTATCTGTTTGTCATAATTTATTATTATTTGTTTAATTTTATATATCGATGCTTATTTTTTAGTGTGATTACTTTTAAAAACTATTGTTCTTTAAAATGCTTAAAACCGTATCAATTTTGTACTGATCATACCCGAGCAATTGGTCTAATGTGAAAAGTGGAGCGACTCTGTAAATAACCTTTCGTGACCTGTGTGTCACACCAAAATCCATGCGTTAGCCTTGTGTGCCCATTGCGAACAAAGTAAAGGCCAAGCTCATCGTATCTGTTATTTTGGAAAGAGATTTTCCATGGTATGATATCATCTTTAACAATTCTAACTTTATTACATATGACTCTTTTCTATATGATATCCAATTTTTAATTATTTCTTTATTAAGAGCTGAACTTTCTCCATTATTTCCAATTCAAAATGAAACATTTCTTATAATTAATTTGTTCTTATGTTTTACCTTACATTAACAAGTAGAAGAAGATTAGTCTAAATACAAAATTATGAAGAAAATATCTATTGTATGTAAAATTTATTCTAACAAATTTATTTTTTGAAGTCTAGGTACCTCAAATACCCATACCAAAACGATTATCTTTCCATTTCTCTTTCTCTCCCTATTATTACTTTACAAATTTAAATATATTTCATCGAGTTTTCTCTTAAAATAGGTTATATTAGTGTTTTCATGTAATGTTGAAGAAAGTAAGAAATGTTATTCTACTATAACTAATTATAAACAGCGGGTTGAAAATTATTAGGATGAAACTAACAATGTTGCCGTTTATAAAAGAATAATCGTTTTATGGGCATAAGTGAACGTAAAAACATAATAGATGTAGACATGTTTATTTAGTTTTATTTTCGAGACAAAATCGACGGTTTTTTTAGTGGTCTGCGGTTTGTACATTAACCACTAGACAGATGATTTCAGATCTTTGCCAATTTATTTACACATACAGGACCAAGAACGATCAGAAGCAATCAACTGCTGAATATTTGTTATTTCCTAATCAATCATCAAAAAATTGAATTAGGTGTCTCTGAGGATGTACCCATTATTATTGGATTATTATTAGCTATAAATAACAAAGTGTCAGTTTTTAAACTTAGCCCTGAAATAGGTAAAATATTTCATGATCTAAATCTACAGGAATATTGTTTGTTTACAGAAATATTCATAATATTTCTTCGTATTAAGCATGCAAGTACTTAAAAAAAAATGTTCTCTAGTTTTGGAACAGTTTAAAACTTTATTATAACATCGGTTTGTCTTCCGATTTTGCTTCTAATTCGTGTATATAATAATATTTATTAATTAGTGTGTACTCTATGTTTCAAGTAAATATAACAGATTTGTGTTTGTTGTAATGAAAAACTTTACATTGGGTTAATTTTAAATTGACCAAAAATTAGATCAAAGTGTAGGAAAACTCAGCCTACGAGAAAAAGAACATTTAACGGTCTCTCAACGGGAAGGATATGAAACGAAAATATGACCGGAAGCTTTTCCATTCTTATTTAGCGGGCATTAGCTTTACAACCCATTTCTCCGTAGACCGTTTTTGTAATTAAAAATGCGATTTGTTATTCAGCAAAGCGGAGACGGCCGGCGTAACGAGGAACTATTAAGACGAAAGAAAAAGCGTTCCCTTTTGGTTAATTAATCTCACTGGTCGTAACGCTCAATTTACCGGCGCGGACTTTCAATTTTGATATCAAAACAAAAATGCATAGCTAGAAAAGAATTAACTCGAAAAATTTTTAATTTCACTTTCACGACCTCTTTTGAAATTCCAGTTACAAACTCCATTCGTTTTCAGGTAATTTTTACAATAACTGATGTTTAACTTTATTATAAACATAATTTATATTACAAACATAAATAAATTAAACATAACTTGAAAATGACATGACTGATGTAGAAATACTTAGCTAGCAAACAAGCGTGCAAATTTCCAATTATGGACAAGTTTTTGCATTTTGTTAATAAAACGTTACTGTGTTACGCGAAGACAAAAAATTGACTTATTTATAAAGTTGTAAAAATATATTAGTGAGGTGTGTGACGTCGGAGAGTAAAAGTAATTTATTAGCAAGAATGAAGTGGGTTCAACCCCGCCCCGAGGAGTATCGAGTACTCTAGGAAAGTGAATGTGACCGGACCTCTATGCTTGGGGTAATGTACATATATGTGTTTTGTATGTTTTCTGTCTATTCATTAGTTGACAACCTGAGGTTCAAACGATAGGATAGCATTTTAGGATACCGACGTAGTATATATATAAAAACAGAGAGTCAGTAACCGGTTCGAGACGCTCAAACGGCTGCAGTTTAAACGAAAATAGTCGTGAAAGAAGAAAATGAAGGAAAATCTCAGAGGGTCGGCGATGACCTCGGCTGTTTGTCGGCCTATAAACATCCCCCTTTATATATTAATTGTAGTATTTAGTACCGTTATTTAATGATTATTTGGAGATCGTGAGAAGCGGTCTGGTGTGACGTAGGCTTTAGAAAAACATTTTCTTTATCGTGGCTACGTTTCGACCTTTATTGAGATCATCTTCAGAGCGCAAAGTGATTGTATTCTGTGTAGATATGTCATTATTGTGTGTCGTGTTGAGAGTGTTTATATATTATATTATTTATAAAACAAAATATTTCTAGGAGACAACTCTGCTCCTTAATTCTTTACTTATATGTATGTAATGGAATGTCGTTGTCGTTGTGTGTATAATACAAATGTTATTCAATAATTAATTTTTTATAAAAGCCGATACGCTAAAAATTTTAAACAAAAACTTAGACCTAAGTTCACAAGCAATTCATGGCATTGTTCGTAGAAATTTTGCTATATGATCAATAACAAAACTATAAAAGAACCCATCATATAGAATATAAAAAATATCAATCTATTATGTTTTTTGTTGGTCTTAGTAACAAAAGTAATTACTTTACTTATTACTGAAGTATGACCTCACGATTAGTACCCCGTGGGTCGGATTCCTTCTCGTGACACTAATTTTTCAACTTCACCATCCTTTGCGTAAGAATTAAAATAAAAAATATCCTAGTACTTAAAGCGTGTGTGGTCTAGCTTCTGCCTGTAATATATCTTAAAAAACGTTTTTTGAAAATTTATTATGAAGTGTTTTCCTTGTTTTTCAGATATGTGCCGTGTCCGTGTGGATGGGATCACCGGGCGTGGATGCGAGGTAAGATCTGACCCTAGGGTTCAATCATTATGAGCTGACCTCACTGACCATCGACTCTCTCTTTCGTTCATTTCTCCTAACGCCTCTTTCTATTCTTTCTTCGTAAATCACTTTTCATTTTCCTTTATTCCGCTGCATCCTCTTAACCCCTGAGAAAGTGGGATGCGCCGAGTTCCACCCGGGTGGGGGGGCTGATTTCATTGGTGATTATTGTAATGTATGTATGGGAGCGCGTTCCGAAATAATCGAGGTGTTCATTGAACATTCGATAATTTTGGAAAGTCATTCACGGTCCTTTCTAAAATTGAAAATTGTACATAAAAAGTTTTCACCCGTCAAAAGGCGATTGACTATGATGGGAAGCTAAGACTAAACAGCACAGATGTTTTAAAATGCTTTGGTGTTTTCAGGATCCCGCCTAAACTTGTGAAGGCTGTGAACGGCGCCGGAAAGGCTTTATATGCGGGTCACTACGCTTACTCTGTCGCTCCGATTCCTCAGCATATCACCGTCCAAGCGAACGTCGCGAGAAAGGAGGTGCACTTGCCGCCGAGGTTGAGGAAGAAGCGTAGGCCGCCACCAAGGAGGCCGCAGTACGCCAGCCAGTACCAGGAGTACACCCGTTCTCCGAACAGAAAGAAGATCAGGCCGAGAAGTCATCCCAAACCGAGGCCGAAACCCAGGCCGAATTACAGGGAGCAGGAATACTACGACGATGAGGACATCGATGACGAGCCCGACTACGACTACGAAGGGAGGCCGAAAAAAGTCTACAGGGACAGTCACAAAGAAGGAAAAGAAGATGATTTCGTGAGTCAGCACTCTGAATATTACACTCCAGGCTACAACCCAGGGAGGAAGAAGTTAAAATACCGGGACGATGAGATCCATTACGCCGATCAGTCGTCCGTCGTCTACATCAAGAGACCAAAACCGAATATAAAAAGCTGGACCAGCGTGATGCGACCGTCCAGCAAACTGTATTCCGCAACGATAGGCGGTCCTCCAAGGCCCATACTTCCAAGAGAAGAGGAAGTCGACGAAGAAGAAGAGAGACCGAGGTACAGAGAAAAGAAACACAGAAAACGCTACAGAAACGAAGAATCGTACCATGAAGAGGACTTTTCGAGCAAAGAAGCAGAAGATCAAGAAGATTATTTCAACCCTGATAATGTTTACCACGACCGCGCATACAGTGCGAAACAAAAAAGAAGGGAAAGAGGGTTGGATGATAAAGGAGACGAGCCAAGAGAATCTTTTAGACAGGAAGAAGCGTTACCCCAAAGAAATAAACAGGACTGGAGGAAACAAGAAGAAACCCGTAAAATTCCCGAAGCTAGGCCACCGACCTGGCGATCCGAACCTGAAGCCAAAGGAGAAAGGGCACCGACCTGGCGATCCGAACCTGAAGCCAAAGGAGAAAGGGCACCGACTTGGCGATCCGAACCTGAAGCCAAAGGAGAAAGGGAAGAGCAGATTCGTTGGTGGCTGAAACCGGAATGGGAAGGTCAAGAAGGCCGACCAATTTTGCCAATTTTACAAAGAGATCCCTTAGAAGGCTGGCGGACCGGCGAGAAGTCGGAACAGCTTAAGCAAGTGGAACTCTGGACCCAGGGTCCGATCCAGACACTGAGATGGGCAGAACCGAGCTCTCCTCCGGCTCTTCTGTCGACACCGACACCCACAATACAGCAACATACCATCGCTTTGTTCCAAACGCCCATCCCTGTCCATCAGGAAAGATGGCCTGATACGGCACCGACGGCTACCTACAGGTGGAAGGACCCGCAGGCAGTTTCCACGGCCAAGCCAAAAAAACGAAAATCACACAAGAACGGAGAACTGAGGAGAAATGCGCACAAACATGAAAACCAGCCAGACGAATACAGAAAAGAAATCGTCGCTCAGAGGGTCGTCGGCGACGTCATGAAATGGGATACCCAAGAGGACACAGATAACAAGGAATGGAAGATCCAGGGCTTTAGACAGACTATAAAAAAACCGACAGATCAAAATTTCGACAACGAAAATGTCAAAAGTGAAACCGACGGAGAGATCATCTACGGGAGCAGGATAACCAACGCGCAAAATCAAAAAGCTTGGAGGAAGGAACCCGACATCGGGTTCGGCCAAGGAATGGAAGTGATGGTCGACGACAAAGTCGCCGGCTGGCAAGTCTATTAAAACCACTTTTTAAACGAGATCGAATATCGGGCTTACCTCCTCTTTCGTTTAGAAAATTGTTAAGCAAGTCCGAAATGTTGCATAATTTTATTTGAACTGAAATAGTCTCTTCAAGAAATCAGAACGTTTTCGAGATAGTTTTCTTTTAGGGAAGTTCTACGGACGGTTTAAATGTATAATTTGCAATTTGAAAATATGAATTGTTAGTGAATCTTTTTGAAATTGTCCTTATGTAAACTGAAATTTACCGAAAACATTTCGACCCTGTTTTTATCGTATAAACTGGGAAAGAAGAAGTGATTCTGGCTAAGTTAACATTCCTAAACTCAATCAAATCAGGTTCATCTTTTACTACGGAATTAGCAAGGCAATATATAAAATTATTCAAATTTCCTTTTCTATCAAATTTCGGAAAGTCGGTTAGAAACATCCATTTCTCGAGCATTGAACTTCGCGGGGTTTTAACAATCATAAGTAGCGGTTTAAGAGCCAAGTTGAAAGTCATTGTTTATAGCTGGTCCTGAAGTTTATCTTCGAAGTGTTCCGGGTCGAAATGGAAAGTCCGGCTAATTATGCTCAGGAAGTATTCATCGATCGTTAAGGGAAAAAAACACGAGAGTTTCAATTTTTCTGTGCGTAAATTGCATTCCTTTTAGGGCCGGCGATTTTTCCACTCTTACTTTCCAATTCATTCCTCTTTTCTCGACTGGTTTTTTCCCTATGTGTGGAAACCCGGGCCGTAAAATCATCTCACTGACATTGTACTAAAAACAGCTCTTAAAAAAAAAAAGTTGGCCACGACAATATTATTATCTAACTCGCACATAACTAACAACGTTATGTATTCTCTTCTTCCAGCTCTCATGCCTCTGTTTATACCGTGTATAAACTCTGTAAATAGTTTGTTTTTATTATTGATTTCTGTTATTTTGTTTTAGTTCATAGATCATAGTACAACCAAAAAATCTATTTTATTTATTGAAAATGTATTTAATTTATTAAATTAAGCATTGACCTTTTGTAAATTTTATTATTAAGTTTAAAATATTGTAATTAAAGTTTTAATAATGCTGATTGATTATTGATTCCTGATTCCTTGTATTGAAAGGGAGTTTAAGGCTTACTACACTACATACTGGGAACACGCAACTATTTAAACCTAATGTGGCTGTGCTTTATGTTTAAATGGGCAGGGACCGTTTTTTGAGCCAAAAATGATTTTTTATCTATTTTTTATATTAAAATAAAACTTTTTTGCATAGTTTTAGAAATACTTTAAATAATTTTTGTAGTTTGACGATCAAGTGTTTTGTTATAAGTTGCCTTCTTGAACTTACAACTCGCTATCGCTTAACCAGTTTTAGAGTAATATAAAAAAATAAATAAAAAATCATTTTAACCAGACGAGATTATTTTCACTAGTAAGACAATGAATTCTTCAATAGATCTAGAATGTCAAGAAAAATTACCAATTTGAAGTTGAACTAGGTTCAGTAGAACCGTGGTCCTCTACATATGACGCCGTACATATGTCTGAACTTAGTTCAAATCGTGAACAAGGTTCTGAACCAAGTTTAAACCTTGATTGATTAAACTAGCCCTAAAAATTTATTTTTCAAGGAATAAAAAAATATCTAATGAACATCAATGAAATATTTAAGGTACATACGTACATGAAATTAAAAGAAGGTAGGAGTTTCGATTATTTCTGACTATAGTGTTACCCGATAGTTTATCATTAATATTTAATGTATGATCATCCTTGATCAGTTCTTCTTGCAGCTTTGCAGGCATATGTTCATTTCAACTCAACACCTCATTAAGCGATATGTCGAGGGAAGCAGGCGGCCAGAGATGAAAGATGATATGTATGAACTTTGATTAAATTACTGCCAGTATTTTTCTAATTGTGGGTAAATTATCTTTTGACAACTTCTAATTAACTTATTAATTTTAGATAGATAGAAAGTAGCCCCTATCATAATTTATATGTTGATTATATTTTTAGAGTTATTAGTCATCGAATTAATAGATATTTAAAATGAATATAAAGTATCAGATAATTAATTTGACTCATTTTGCATTTTATGAGAACCGCGTATAGCACGTACCGCACTTAACTTTTTTATGTTCTATGTGTATTGCCATTGGAAGTAAATGACTCAGGGGATGAAGCTATGTAAAATAAGAAACGTCTTTTTGTGATTTATAGGGATTGTCTGTGGAAGTAATGACTCAGGGGTTGAAACGATGTGAACAAATTTTTTTGTGTTCTAAGCGCTTTTGGAAAGAAATGACTCAGGGGATGAAGCAATGGCAAAGAAGAAATTTTTTGTGTTTTATAGGTGTATCCATTGGAAATAATGACTCAGGGAAAAAGAAACTTGTTTTTGTGATCTATAGCGATTGCCTGTGGAAGTTATGACTCAGGGGTTGAAGCTATGTAAAGAAAAGTTTGTTTTGTGTTCTATGCATATTGCCATTGGATGAAAATGTCTCAGGGGATGAAGCTTTGTAAAAGAAAATTTTTTGTGTTCTATGGGTGTATCCATTGGAAATAATAACTCAGGGAAAAAGAAACTTGTTTTTGTGATCAATAGGGATTGTTTGTGGAAGTAATGACTCAGGGGATGAATCTATGTAAAAGATAATTTTGTTTTGTGTTCTACGCGTATTCCCATTCGAAATAAATGACTCTGGGGATGATGCTATGTAAAAGAAAATTTTGTTTTGTCTTCTACGCGTGTTGTCATTGGATGGAAGGACTCACGGAATGAAGCTATGTAAAGGATATCCCAATTTATTAATTATTTTTTCTCTAGCAGGCCGGGAACAGAAAAGACAAGCCGAATTTTTTCCCCGCTTGTCGAAAATAGTTTTAGGCCCTCCTTGTCTTTTCTTTTCGGAAGCGGCAATCAATTACTTTATCCATTAAAGGATACGTGACGTATCAAGAATTTCATGAATCCGTGGCTGGGGTATTTTGTCGGGGTGAAACAGGTTTGAGGCTCCTATACCCCGTGGCAGAGCACGGAGCCATTCACTACATCGAAAATCAATTAAAATTCCTTCCCCATAAAAAGTATAACTATGCCAAAACAGACCTGTAACAATCTGATAGCTAAAACTAAATCCGTTCTATCGAGGCTCTAAGTTGCAATAATTAAAATTTTGAGGCATTCACGGTGATATAGGAAGTCGTATTAAAAGTCTAAATTGTAGAACCAGCGAAGATAGGCGAATTCAAGACCATTGATTCGAAATAACTACCTGTGACAAATCTGGACCAACTATTTTCACTATTCTTTTTTTACAATTTTCCCTTTATTGAACGTCTGAATAGGAAGTTATCTGAATTGAAAAAGACTCGGAATTAGTCTTGCTTTGTCGGTACCTCATGCAGCAATAGTACATTCAAAGGTAGTTTGTTGACAATGATTTGACTTCAATTATCTGCTATCTCCCCAGCGAACATAGCGATAATAGGCGCCATCAGGGACGATCAAGCCAATTTGTAGTTTGATAGTCTGTTCCTTTCCTTCCTGATTTTGTCTGTCGGACGCGCTTTGGCTTTTCACCGTAATAAGTAGTGGGTTTGAAGAAGTGTGAGATTCAACGAACGCTAGTAAAAATAGAAAATCACGTTTTATACCAAAAAGGCTCGGAAACAATCTTTAAATTTTTGAGTAAGGTATACAAAATAAAATCTCAAGTCATCTAAATTATATGATGCAGGTTTTTCTAATTTTTTTATTAAGTCTATTCGTTTAAATTTTTAAATTTTATAAGTTTACTATGTCTGGTATTTCTAAAATTCCTCTAGTTTTCCTTTTGTTTTGTGTGGACCCACCATGAGATGGAAGACTATGTTTCATCTTATTGTCCCAAGTAAAGCTACTGGACTTTGATACCTTAGTGAGTGGTGTTCCCAAACGAATTTGTACACGAATACAACAAATGATCAATTATCTATTCCAAGCGCTCTTATCTCTTATCTTCACAAACTAAGACTGCAAAGAAAGAAATACAACATTCCAAATGATACATGCACGCCTTGGAGCACAGCAACAGGTACAGATCGCTGATATGATCATAAACATTTTACCTGTATCTTTCTACTTCTTCATGTTGTTATTGTGTTACTGCAACTAATGTATCTGTTAATCTAACTAGAGAGGCATATCCCCACTATTCCGAGGATTATCGAGTACTCTGGGGTTATGTGAACCAGGTCTGATGTGGGTAAATGTAATTTATTAGCGTGAATGGAGGGGCTTATTCTCAATTGCCTGGAGGAATATCCAGTACGGTGGGATAGTGTGAATACTAACTAGACTATCATATTTTGTCCTGTTTCGGTTTAATGTGTATTTGTGTTATTTTATCTACAATTGTGGAGGCTTTGAGGTTTATAGAAGCTAGCAATAGGATAACGAAATGAGAGTCGTTACAATCCAAAATTGGTCTCGTCTCAATCTGTTTGGAAAAACAGGAAAAGAAATAAGTAGAATTAGAACGCGAGAAATGCAAGAAAGTAAAGAAAGAGAGGGCTAATGATGATCAATGTTTCTTTTACTTTATATTTTTATTATTATTACTCTTACTTCTTACAATTTTTATTTTATCTATTTTTATCTCTTACAAATCATTCAACTAGTTATGCTATATTTTCCATTTTTTCTTTTCAAAATGGCCATACATTGTATTCCCAGACAACGTTAAATGTTACCTAACTATATTGCAAAAATATCATTGATCCGTATAAATACATATTTATAACTGCTTATATATTTAAGCAGGATATTGCTTGCGCTATTTAGAAAATTCTTGCCGAAAACTTTGGCAAAATGGATTCAAAAGTTTGAAAACGAGAGAAGCGTGGGAGATCGGGACTGATTCGATATAAGCTAAGGATATTCTACATCTCTTAATTCGAAATTCCTTATACCTATCAAGCCACTTTCTCGTATATGCATCCTCGTTCGTTTTTATTTTCGATTTTTGAAAAATCAGTAAACAGTCCTGGATCGAAACTGAAGCCTAAAATCATAAGATTTTTACACAGAGGAAGGTACAAATGATCAGTAGGTAAGTATACAAACAAATGATCGTTTAAAAAAATTAATGTACTATTAACTACTGCTACGTCCTTCACATATAATAAAAATTCTGACAGTAAAGGAACATCGACTTGTGATGGCAGATTTGATAGTTTCATCGAAGAAAACTCTTAATTTTATTATAATGTAACGTTTTTGGGGTGGGAATCGAACCCACGACCGCGGAGTCTACGAGCCGAGAGTCTTATCTTGCTTACCACTCGTCTTCAGCGGTTCAATGAAACTTTGTCAACTAAGTATGCATTTTTAAATATGTAATTAAATGTCTGATAATGCTATATTTGAAAATACAACAATTTTTAACAAAACTTCACTATTTTTATCTTAAGTTCAATAAATCATCTTCCCTGCTTTTCAGGCTTGGTAGCAAAAGCAAACAGCACGCAAAAAAATACAAATTGAGGGAAAAGCCGAAAGATGGAGCCTCTCGCCGTTTTCTCCACTTTTACCTTTCCGTTGTCGGTTAAAGATTTTTTGAATGGAAGGAGCCGATCCTCGTTAGGCCCGGGCCGGCCTTCTCAAGACGTCTAAATGATAACTTATTCCAGGCGCAGGGCTTATTTACACCGAGGCGGCCCTTAGGGAAAAAAAGAAGCACCCCGTGTCAATTACAAAAGGGAAAAAAAGCATGGGTTTCGTATTTCTAGCTGTGTGGGACTAACTAGGCCCCCCGGGCAAGTGGACCGACCGGTTTTTCACTCTTCTTTCATGGGAACTGGCCCTTGTTCCATAGTCACTTCTAACCACTTTGAGCCCTCAGCCCTTTACCGTCGACCCACTAACGCCCTCCCAACACCTGTCAAACATTTCATTAATACC